ACAATAAATACACTTTAAAAAAAGTTTTAGTCAGTGTTTTACGTCACTTACTAAAACTTTTAAAAAGTGTGTTTATTGTTCAAACAAACGAAATACGGATGTGTTTGTTTGAGGAGAGATGTCCGGTTGGTTAAGACGAAAGTTCCGCTGACCTGGATCTTATCGTGGCCCACGCTCCTAGTTCTACTAGCCTACTGTGTCGAGAGGGACGACTTTCTCTGGCGATCCCGAGTCGAGACCATCGCATATTTTTGCACACCTCGCTATAAGTTTCTCAACCAACGCGCCCTTTTGCACCCATCTCTCGCTCTCTCCCTCATCGCCTTTCACACGAGCCATGGAGTGTGCAAAATCCTGTCTTTATAGATGCATGCGTCTCGAAACAACATTCTCTCCTACAAACGCTTTCCACTCCACGTGTGTTGGACAACTGTGAAGAAGCCTTTTGTGAATTTTTGGCCCATCCAACAACTTGTCGAGTTTTAAGTTAATTTATTCTGTGTGTGCCAGGTTCACCGGTGATATGAGGAGAGTGTGTGTGGACTCGGATCGCTAGGAAGGATTCGTGTTGTTTGGGTATTTCGCGTCGCGACATCGTTGTGACCCAACTCCTGGTATTGGACGAATTGGTTGGACGGTATTTTCATTATGACGCTACCCCGATACTTTGTTTAATGACGTAGATAGAAGAATCTAGCAATTCGCTGTTTTACGATAGGGGCCTATTGTAATATTTTGTCGTACACGAGATTGTACCGTGTTAATGGCACATTATAATACTTTATTAATGTCAAGGCTATATATATCTATACGTTGATGCCTTTTTTGTTATTAATAATAGTTCTGACATTTTTTCCTGACAGGTTAACATACTGACACTGTATTGTGGGTGACGCACGTGTGAATAAGACACAGGTGGTAGACCCGAGACCGTAAATTTTTGTAAAAATTATCTTTATCAGAAAGAGGCATCAACTAGAGTCTACATTTGTATTTCATGGCAAGTAATATGAATATGACCTTTGTCAGTGTATTTTTCTTTAATAACCACACTTCAAAATTCTATACAACACGTCAATTTCTTTTCATATAAACCTGCATTATAATAACGATATATATTTTGGAAGAGGCTAGCCGTACTG